AAAAAAGTATGAGCTCTTCTCCTGGAAGCCTAGCATGCTTCACTAGGTATCAAGAGATCCACTGTACTGCTTAACTTAAGAAAAATGCCAGTTTTCAAAGCTATGCAATCTTTTCAATGTGCACCTCTTCTTGCTCCAAACTGATCCAATTAGGGTAAATATCTGTGTAAAATAAGTTTCTGCATGGAAGAAGACATAGCCCTTGAGCCAATTTAATATGCCAAGTTTATAGAATGGGTTCTGAATCTTTTAATGACAGTGAAGATAGCAACTGCAATTGCTATAAAGCAAGGGCTCCCGTCTTTAAAGTTCAACTGGCAGTCATTGTTTACTCTATTTCAGCTACTGAAAAAAATCATATTTAAGCTTAGGCTTAAATCAAACTAGATTGGTCAGCCTTTTTGAAGGACACAGATGACCCTGATGTAATCTGTTCTAGATTTAATAAATATTTTTTTCTGTATTCTTGCACTGCATCTCAAACAAGATAAACATTTTTTTACTGCTAACAATTTTTCTACATTTGTGAACTGATGACAGTCAGAGTGAAAAGGAGAAACAGTTCATATGCTCACACTGCATATTTAATATTTTTTTCTGTACATTCTTGTCTTGTATCCTTCTTGGTTTGCAAATGAATAAAACAGTTTTTTAAAGAGTCAAATCCTGCATCATGGTTCACAAACATGGCTTTGGTACAATTCCAAGTTTCAGCAAGGGCAGGAATATGCTCTGTACTCCCCAGCCCATGCCACTGTAAGTCCAGCCTTTACTTAATTTCTCCTTTCCAATGAGTGTTTGCAGATGTCAAAAATGCTAGTACCTATTATCTTTTCCCCAGAGAAAGGGAAGTTCTGTATGTAACTATGCAAATTATACCTTCTATAGAGTTTTGTAATTCAGTAAATATATATACACAGCAACTTGTAAGAAAATGGAAGGAGGGGGTTAAACAAAAAAAAAACAAGAAGGTAGACACTCACAAAAGTATGTTATGCTTTGTGTAATATTGTTCTCAATTATTATAGTTTTCTATGGTTCCGTCACAGGAAGTTTATTTATAGCCATATATGGCATTCTCTGTTCCAACTGCAACTAAATTATTAATTTGTACAATATTGCTGTATTTGACAATGAGCTTTCAATTTATACAAGGACAAGGATCCAAAATTCAGTCCCCTTTTGCTAAGCATGCATGCGTTTTGTCACTTGCTGTTGGAAAGCACATTAATTGTGACAAGCAAGGGCTGAAAGACTAAAGTCAGAGGTAATTATATGCGTGGTCTGAATTGCCAAAAGCAGAAATAGCAAAACACAATTTCAAAGTGGCACCACATGCAGAGGGGCACAATGTTCTTTGATTTCCTACCCTTCACTTTCCACTATCCACACTCCGCAATAAAAAGAGCTTTGCTTTAGAAAAAGATTTTTTTTCATAGCACTTATGCCTTTTGAAGGAAAGGAGGACACGTGCATATGCCTGAAGTAAGATATTCAGAACAATTCTACACCAGCTACTCAAAAAGACAGAAACAGTGTCATATTCAGCACAAGACATGCATTTAATGAGACAGCTGCTCTCCACATTTAGAGAAACTACTGTACTAACTGACCAAAGCAACAGCACACCTAAATTAGGAGAGCTGGATGTTTTTTGGTAGATTATATTTTTGAAAAAGATGAACAATAACTTCACATATTGGGCAACATATTTTAAATGGATTTTCCTATACCACACCTGATCTTGGCAGAGCTTTGGGCACAAGCCCAATGTCAGAACAATTCCATCACATTCCCACAGCAGGGTTTTTTTTAAATAATTCTGTTTTCCCTGTAAAATGTTGCAGTGGATGTTAACACTTGTACAAGAACCTGATATCACCTTGGGCAGACTATGGAAGAACAGACAACAGCAGTGGCAGCAACATCTTGCAAATGCATTGTGCTTGCCTTTTGCAAATGAAAACTCAATGAGTTCTACCAGTGAAGACCTTGTCCACCCCTTGAGGCATCTTTACAGATTTCAGATTTCATGCCCCTTCATGTATATAACTTAAAAGAAAGGTTGACAGTTGTGTTTTCCAGCGACACAGAAAATCCCCTGCATTAGATTACAGTCAAACCATTTCATATCATGACCCACAAAAAACAGCAATGAGCTGCTGCTGTATTCAGCTATTTCTGATGGGCACAACTGTGCAGAGTGGAGTGGTGAACTCAGATTCTGGAGACCTAGATCCAAATCAGTACTCACATTTAAAGTTCAAGGAAGTAACTGTCTCTCAGGCCCAGCTCTTACTGAAGAAGTAACTCTGTGTCTGGATTGTACCACTTTGACCAAATAAAATGAGGGTGGGTTAAAAAAAAAAAAAGCATTCTATCACACCCCACATGCTACTGTGATTACCACTGCCACAGTCATGGCAGATGTTTACTGCATGAGTAAGAATTATATCTAGGGACACAGTGGCTCAGTGGTTAAGACAATGACTCTGATGACTGCATCATCAGAGTAATGGGTGGTGCTCATCTCTGTTACTAAACTGAAGAGCCAGCATTGTCAAAGACAACAATGTCATGACTAGATAATCTTGTCAAAGGAAACCTTTAGCTTTACCTTTAAGAATTATACAGCAGCTAATGTATTTACAGGATTATTATCAAGAGAAGAAAACAAATCAACAGTCACCAAGAATAACATGCTTAAAAAATATATCAGTTATAATCTAGTAATTTACCTTCCAATACAGTAATATTAATGTTTTTTAGGTGTGAAAAAATATCTCCTTTTAGTGCAATCCATTGACTGGAAAAGCCAGATATTTTTTCTTTAATATTGTTTAGCTCTCCTCTGATATAGGGAAGGAGGACGAAGGCTTTTTTTATGATACACATACATTGTCCCAGTGTTTTTCTGAAAAAAAGGAAAAAGAAAAAAAAGATAATTGATCTTCAAAACAAAGTAACCCTTAAAACAAAGACTACTGAATGAGATCAAGGAAGGCAGCTAACATAATTCTCAAATGATTTAACATTTTCAGCTGGTCTTCATAAAGCAATTTCAATTATCAGTATATTCTCTGTATGTCTGTTTATCGCACAACAATCTTAGCGTATGCATTTTTAAATCTTTCTATGCATTATGGAGTAGGTGGGGATTATTCCCGGGACAAAATGTGTGTTCCACAAAAGATTTACCATGAATATTCATATTTTAACATCATTAACGTATCATGATCATGAACATTTAGAATGCCAGTAACCTACAGGCCTCTCAAATTATCAGAAAAAATAATAATCATGAAAGATGCATTAAAAAAAAATCTTCTAGTACAGATGGTCAAACCTTGACCTACAAAATATTACTTAAAGTAACTGAAGCAAGTAGCTTTAGATTAGGCCAGAAACATTTGAAGAACACTGGCACTGGACTTTTCAATAGACATTTGTCCATAACTCCTTCCTTTCCAGTCCCAGCAATAAGTATCAAGGCAGAGTGGGAGGTGGTAATACCAATGTGATCTGTAAGTGTTCCATGTAGGAAAATAGAGGGAAGGTATATTAAATATCTGAAAGGCCAAATAAAGAAGTGAGGAAACTATAGACTCAAGATTGTGTTGAGGAAGTCCTGCAATGGAATGGAGAGCTGACTAATTAGGAATCAGAAATAGAAAACAATGCACACTGTGATTCTCCACTGTTATGTGACTCCTGGACACAGGAGCCGTGTGTGTGTGTGTGTGTGCCTTCAAGTCATCTATCGACTTATGGCAACCCCATGAATTTCATACAAATTTCTTAGGCAAGAAATACTCAGAGGTGGTTTCGTCAGTTCCTTCCTCTGAAACACAGCTTTATAACACCTGGTATTCGCTGGCGGTATCCCATCCAAATATTTATCAGAGCCGACTCCATTTAGCACCCCAGATCTGGCAGAAGCTAGACAGTTCTAATAGACTACTTTGAATACTATTCCCCAATCTGGTGCTTTGTTGAAGCTTAAAACATATGGAGGATGCCAGCTTTGGAAAAGGTGGTTCAGGTGCTTTTACAGAAATTATGAACACTAGTTTCCTGTTCATAGAAAAATTAATTATTGTATGAATTGCCATGCGAGAATGCTTACCGCAACACTTCTGACTGCCTTTGTGAAAGGTCCTTGTCTTTCTGAAGACATCCCAACTGTTCATTTAGATTTTGTATTAGATCTTGCTTATTTTCAATCTCAAGAGATAAGGTTTTTATTCTAAAAAAGCAAACAAAGAGTAACATTAGCAGTTGCCTAAAAACAAATAAACCCAAGTCTGTGCCCTTTAAGGCTAATGGAAAGTGTCTTCTGCTTATAGGAGGATACTTTCCAGCTTAGTGGAACAATGCATTGCATCCAGAAAACAAGATGAAATTTAGTGAGATTCATCTGTTTGCACAAACTTTTGCTAGATTTTCCCCCTTTGGGTTCCAAACCTTTATCTACACATAATTTAAATTATTTACAGATTTATACAACAGGCCATAATGGCTGGATCACAAGTAGCTCCTCACTGCAAACTAAGACTAGAGTACAAACTGCATGTATCCCAGCCATTAGTACTTGTCTTGCAACAAGTAACTTTATTCACCCCATGTACAGACATGGAGATGTGTAATCCCTTTACATACTCTGAAGTAACTCTAGGGACTTCATTGTACAAAATCTTCTGCTACCATTACACAATACATCGGAGGCGGACATTAATTGATGAACTTGTTTAGCTCACGCGTCTTTGGATTCATTCCTAGATATTTTACATTTTACATTTAAGCCTTTCTTTTTTGAAGCTGTCTGTATTTTATCAAAACAAACTTTATAACTTTTCAAAACAAATCATAAAGAAATAGTGAATTATCATTAAAGTATGGTAAGGTACTATTAAGGTATGGTCCAGATAACATTTAACATATTTAGAAAAGCAGACACATGTACGAAATGCAAGTTTATGTAAGTCTAGACAGCTTTTAAAACCAGCATGCCATAGTGGTTTGTGTTGGACTACAACTTCGGAGACCAGGGTTCAATTCCCTGCTTAGCCATGAAAGCCACTGGGCAACCTTAGGCAAGTCACCCTCTCTCAGCCTCAGGGGAAGGCTATGGCAAACCTCTTCTGAACAAATCTTGCCAAGAAAACCCCATGACAGGTTCACCTTAGGGTCACCCTAATTTGGAAACAACTTGAAGGCACACAACAACAGCAAAAGACAGCTTTTAGTCATGAAGCAAAATTACAAGAATATTTTATCCTAATTTGACTCCTGTCCATGATCTCTTTTCTGTTAAGAGAGCACAGATGTTCTATATTCATAATATGGAGATTAGTCATCCAAATAATTGTGGTTCATTAATCATCTGACTTTTAAGAATTTAATCAATTACAGTTAAATATATTCACATAATCCCAAATTCAAATGCCTTTATTGGTTAATAAAGAAAGTGCAAAACAACTGGTACAAACTTGCTGCCCTTTCCCCATAGTAACACATTGGAACCAGAATTGCCTTAAAAATCTAAGAAAGACAAAGTGTTCTTCACTCCCAGACCTGACATTAAAATGTGTTCTCACCAATTAAAACTGACCTTCACTGAGTCAAGATAGCACCTTATTGTTTTTAATGAAAGATTACAACATAAAGCAGAAGAACAAACTAGTATTTTGTACCATTAGACAATCTGAGATCACATTAACCTCACATGCTGAAAAAAAGATATATCCCAAAGGACATTAAACTATAAGAAAGAGATTAAAAAGAATGCACTCACTCAGGATACACAACATTTAGAGGGGTGCAAAACAAATATACAGAATTAGACCTGCTACCCACATGGTAATCCTAGTGTACAAATGATAGTTATCAGCTGAGTACTGAAAATGCAGTGGTCTTCCATTCTAGTCTTTTCTTAACCATGATTCACAAGCATTTGGTTCCACACCATTAACACCAATATCCATGTATGGATTTCCTATCAATTATATCACCTTTATAGTTTAAATCATCATTTATGACAGGCCAAAAACACAAGAATATGGGAAATTTAGAGCTTAAGTCCTTTTATTTTAAAACCTTGCAGCAATCTAACGATAATGAAAAGATCTGCTGCACCAGCAAAGAAGCTCTTAGGCTGGAACATACCTTATTTTCTGGCATATAAAA